TTAAAGAGAAGTTGAGAAATATTAATTAAAAGTCATATCAAAATTCGTGACCTACATTGCTGATCATTTCCCGATTCCAAACTTTTGTCCAGTGAGTGTACATGTAGTTCTTATCGTTATCAAAAAGCGCATTTTTTTTTATCAAGTCAATCCTCTTCAGAATTACCCTGAAAAAATCTTTGGAATTAAAATTTTTCTAAAAATGATAATAATATGTTTTTTTAGGACATTCTCTAGGTTACTAATAATAAAATGAGTATAAGAACAGGGTACATTTAATCGATATTAGAGGCACTAGAATTTTTTTATAAAGATTTTCATAATTTAGTGAGCCACTGTTATTCTCCGTTTGATTCCTTTCATTTCCGGATTGCAACTACAATCTGAAAATTCGGCTCATATTAGTTTCGGATCTTTTGGAACGCCCGTTCCTTTTGAATTAGGTACAGTTTGATTTCTCACGTCAAGTCAGAATGTAGTTAATTTTTTAGTAAACAAACTAATTTATGATATGGGCGGATTTATTTTTAGGCCAAAGTTCAAAATGTTAATTCGTATTATTACATATACAATTGGTGCCATAAAGTTTCGGAATTTATTTCTCTACATAAAAAAAATTTATTTACATATTTTTTAATCATAAAGTTTTTCTAAAATATAGTCAAACATGTAATACGACTAATTACATATGACTAATTACATATGGTTAATAATTTATTTTTTTTCATTCTGGTTAATCAGCTTATTAATATAATCATTCACGCTTGCTAATTTAAGAAAGATATGAGAATCAAAATATCACTCTTGCCTAATTATTTCTTGAAATAACGATAATATTTATTAAATAAATATTAATCTTCTTTTTAATCTTTTTTCTTTAGTATCATCCACAGATTTTGATTGAATTCAGGTCAGATAAGTTTGCAGGCCAATCCATCACATGAACCTGATAATCTTCAAAATCTTTTATAATAGCAGCAGTGTGAACAGAAGAATTATTCTATTAAAAATGCCATTTAAACTCAGCTTTTTGAGCATTTAAAAACTGGTAAGATTCAAGAATTTTACTATATCTGTGAGAATTTAGATTCTCTGTAAATAAAAACAACATAATGAGTTCTCTTAAAGAAAATATTCCTCATACATGAACTTTATATAGATATTTCAGCATAAAAGTTACAATTTTTAAAATAAAAATATATATTATAAATTTGTAGCTCTTAACAATAACTACAATTTGATATAATATACTTAATATTGATAAAGTTATATTGATTTATTGAAATTCCAAATCATGACACATATATCCAATCAGAGCTATTTAAATATTATTTTTTGTTAAGAAAATAATGTTAATTCTAATGGAAAATTAAAACAGTAATGATAACTAGCATTTTTGTTTCTCTTAAGAATTATGCTAACCGTTTTATAAAACTACGTTACTTTTGTTCGTGGTTGCGACAGATATTACTAAATACTCGTATTTTAAAATTTAAAAACTGTTTTATGCTCACATACAGTCAAATCTCATTATTAACAGAAATTTTTAAATTCTTATAATCACATATAAATCTCATTATAAAAATAACATGTTCTATAATAACGAGGTTTGACTAATAGTTGGGTTTGTGTTCAAAATTTAAAATTAGCACCAACAATAATAGCAAATGGACATTTCTATCTGCTATAAAACAAAAAATGACTGACAATATATTAACTGGAAGTGAGCGACTTCAAGATCTACTAGGACGCGACTCGGTCACAGAAATTGTGATTATCCAACCGAGATCAATCAATTATATCGGTCATTTTTGCCATCAGTACTGTCTTCATATGCAAAAAATCGAGATGAGGGACAAATAGTGAGCAGGACGCGAAGAAAAAGCACGAGATGGAAGCAATATTCAATCAAACTCGAAAAGGAAATAAGAGGAACTGATGAGAAACTTGAAGGTACGGATTTATCTAAACGTGAAGCAGAAGGACCTGATGAAGAGATGAAGGGTGTGATAGACTAATTTTTTATTATAAATAACGAAAATGGTAAAAGCAGCGAAATAATTTTCCCTTTTATTGTAGGACTTTTCCTAGGCTTTTTTTACAATATGATTGAATTATCTCGAGGCCGATATCCGTATCTTTCTGACTTGGTATTCACCCACTCGCGGTTGTAGGAGAAAGATTGATGATCAAACCTCACACATAATCTAGGCACTCGCACGAAAAGAAGCAACTTTTCAGGAAAGAGAATACATCATATCCACTACCTTTTTGATGAGTGCCGCTGCAAGACAGACACGCTGGCTTGTATATACTTTAAATATGAATCTAAGGGATAATTGGAGCATACAATTAAGAAATGCAAATATATCAAAGATGTTCAAAACGTGAACTCTATATAAAGATAGGTTAGTATCACTCGTGAAATTTTTTCTCTGGTCTTTGTTGATGGGCTATAAGGTACAAGTTGGTGTTTAGCTAATTTGGATAAACAAATAAATCTTTGTTTTTTTATTAAAGAAACTAGCTAATACAAGTAGTAACAAAAGAATATGCAACGTTTATAAAAATTCATGAAAGTTGTACATTATAAACGAGAAAAATATCTATAACGACCTCTGTAAAGATCATTTTTCTTTGGAGTGAATTCATTAGCATTTTCCTATTGAGAACATTGAATTAACTTATTTATGTTAAACTTAATCATAATTGAATATGTTTCGTGTATATAAATAATACCTTGAAAAAATAGTCGACAGGTTTAGGCTCTTTGCCAGTTATTTCTTTAAAATCATCAAAGGATTTTCCGGCATCCCGACCATTTTTGACATAACACAAGAGATCAAGACTAGAAAATCACGAGAATAGATTAAACATAAAATTTATGCATTATAGAAGTATAAAAAATCTTTCATACAGTTTTTTAATCTCAAAGTCACTTAAAGGAAAGAATCGTCTTGGATCATATTCGATATCTTTCCTTTCACTCCTAAGCGTTCTAAAATATCGGGCAAGTTCTTCATTGTTGACTCGTCTGTATTCAACTCTACCAGGTCTAATGGCATCATTGATCATGGTGACCAAATCTTTTGGAGTAAAGGCTTTGTACCCCGTAAGATTATAGATGATTTTTTTTTCGTTTGCACAGCCTTCCTTATTTTTTACGAGATCATCAATAGCGCGGACGATATCCGAAAAATCGATTGGATTGAGTCGCTCGTTTTCAGCGTCGAGTGTCATTTTAATGATACCCTCTTCTTGGATGCTTTTGGTGAAATAAAAGAAGCACTGATGAGTCCAATTTAATCTGTTAATTGATATAAAAACATAAAAAATTATTTATTAGATATCCGCTTAGTACAAAAAAATAAATAATCAATTCGGTTTACCTTATAATTTTATAATTTTGAAATTCCTTCTCCAACAGTTTTTCAACATTATGTGCGATACGATGAACGTCTGTCAGCTCTTCGTCGGCTCCAATAAATGAAATTAGAATTATATTCGAGACTTGTTGAGATTTAGCAGCCTAATTCACAATATAAGTGTAAAATTTAAAACATGTATAGAATACAAAAAAAAGAACAGCCAAAAGAAAGCGAAACATACTTTAACTAATTCTTCTGCAAAACGAACACAATTTTTGTCATCTTCAATTAAATGCACTAAGGTATTTACGCCTTGAAGCGCTCGTTCTAATGACTCCTTTTTCGTGTAATTTGTTTCTCTGATCTTTGCACCTTCTCTTTCTAATTTTTTTACGTTTGGAGATTGAGGATTGCGAGTAAGCGCAATTATTTCCGTCTCTTTGTCATCATAATTATTCTCGCGTTTTAGTAGACCATGGGCAATGGAGTTGCCTACCCAACGATCGGTGGCATTGACAGCAATTGCACGTTTTTTTGGTTTTTCGTCTTGGACTTTGCTACTCATGTTGGGGATTTATTTTATTAATTATTGTTATCAATTAATTGAACCAGATTTTATATTAATGATAAAAATCGTTTTCAATGAACGGAATAATCGTGAGAACTTCACGTTCACTCGTTCTCATAATTGTTTATGGGTATTACTTTCCCATTATATTAATGAATTCTACGATTCAAGTACTTTTTGACATTGATAATGAATTATTTACATAACCCACATGAGAATACATATGCTTCGAAAGGCAAACCAAACAATTACTAACTACTTTTGAATTTCCTATTCTCCTGCATTCCAATCTTTTCTGATCGCTATT